ATTAGCTAATATTGGTATGTGGATCTGATGGATCGATAAGTAGGTATATTTTTAAAAATAAAATCATTTCAAGTTTTTAATAAAAGTTATTTGTTACTATTTTTTAAAGCACTGTATTTTGTTTGCAAATCTCAATGACTTCTGACATGGTCAGTCACTACATATTCCAACAAAGTAAATTGCACTCATTCACAATGTGCTCAATGCTCATAAAAGTGCATAACAACGCAATTGGGAAAGTTAAAACAGGTACTATTAAAAAGTTCTAAACAAAAGTTCTATATATTTTTACTTTTTACTTCTTATTCAGCCACTTCATTAGCTGCATCAGTGCTAGACATCTTAAATTAATTAATTAAACAACATACACAAACAAAATTAAACCCTCATGAAACGAAAACTATTACCTACACGTTTTGAAGTACGATTCTTTATGAAAACGCCGTATTTGAGATTGTGCCGTTCAATTCGCTGACCAATAGTTTCGTAGTTACATGCTTGATCATTATTTGCCGATCGGAATGCAAGTTGAGTTTTTATCTGAGTTATAATATGATACGGCAACAGGTGATAATTGGACAAAAAATAAACAAATCGTCATTTTAGTTTTCAGTTTATCGGTCAATTAAACAGTGACTTTAGTTTTTACTACAATCAAAATAGAATTTTGTGTCGTTGTATAGTGTAAGCGTACAGCCTTATGGAGTTATTTATTTCAGTGTTTAGTGACGGTAGTGTAGTGTTTGTGTCTTCATTTTCATTTCACGTTCCTGTTTGAGAAAACATGTATACGAAATAAAAAAAGAGCCATGTGGTTAGTGCTTACTGATTGTAAAAAGAAAACGGCACGGCTGCAAGAAGACTGTGTCAGATAGACAATCCCAATAGATAAGTACCACATGAAAACATAAATCTTAATAAGATAGGGCAAGACAATCTCACATCTTAGGGCATGTTTGAAGATGAAGAAAATGTTGAGCATATACTGTACAAATCAGGTGAGTAAACAGATTTAGCCTGTCTAGCGGGGTATGAAAATTACGAAAGAAAGGTAAAAAAAATAATTTTCACTACATAATTTGTAAAAATAAGCTTTTATACAGGGTGTAACTTTGAGGGGGTCATATTTATACAGAGGTTTCCTTTGACCTTTAGAAACACGAATCAATAGTTTATTTTTTCAAATTCCGTCGGGAAAACTTTAATTTTTAACCTTTTTTTTTAGTAATTTTATGCCCTGCCGCTGGACAAGTTAGTGCAACCTCAAATAACGGCGAGCTTTAGTTGCAACTCGTGCACAATTGGAAACTGGGCTATGCATTGTTGTCAAATCTCATATTTAAAGGAAATGTTAAAAGCAAATTTTCACGCCACTCGCCGTCAGATACTGTTCTTTGACGCATTACGTTTGTTGATTGGGTTTTCGTCACGGGCCCTATCGTCCTACAAGAGGGAAGGTTACATTTTTTTAAATAATATAAACTATGAAACAGTACTTACCGATTAACCTAGCAAAAAACTCAAGCAGTAATCAATAATGATAAATGAAACAAACAACAATAAAAAATTTGTTTACTGACCTGATTTTTATAACATAGCACTTGAAATTCTGTGGTTAATCTTCGTGTACTGGTACCAGGTCCTTTTCCACGGAGTTTAAAAATTTCTCAGTGTCTGAATTTGTTAAAGTCCAACATTAATGTATTGGCGTTCAAAGGTCGCATAATCTCTTAAACGTTGTAACCTTTAACTAGATGGCCCTCGGGGCGCTTTTGGAATTTAATTACAAATTAGATGCACTGTCTCCAAAATCCAGGCTACCACAGAACACTGAATCCCTTCACTTCATCACCGTTGACCCGTACTGTCTCCTCCACTAACAACGGGTACTATTAGTTGCCAACACACATTAATTTACATCCCACAAATAGACAAATACATGAATATTACAGGGTGGGCGTGCTACAATGTACCAATCTGACAAACATTTTCTTATTCAGTACTTATAAGTTGGCGTAATCTATCTGATATCGTCTCCTTTGGTCCTGGTGACTTTAAAATGACACGTCGCTAAGTTATACAAGAACAGTCCGTTTTAACAAATCACTTTTCATTTTCACTCCTCACAATTTAGGTTGATTTAAAAACTGTCAATGTTGATAGTGCACTAATTCGCAAATTCTGGGTGTCTCGGTTTACGCCGCCCAGTGACAGGGTACACAAGAATTAAAGATCATTTATAAAAACGAATTATAACTCGGCTACTTATTTGATATTCATTTTTAATCTTAACTGAAAACTCTTGAAGGGTGGAAAAAAATTATTGAAAAATTATGCAATTGCACAATTGTTTATGTATTCTTTGAGGAAGCTTATTCTATTTCATATTTTCTTTTAGCATGATCGATAAATATAATCACTGCCTGAAAGATTTTTAAAAACTCTTGAAGCGGCGGAAATGAATTTCAGAAGATTAGCCCCGGGGAAATCAAAATTAGATGGAACAGAGACGATAGGAAATAATGGAATTGAAAAGTTATATATTAGACTTGAAACGACAAGGTTTTATTAGATGATGTATTATCCGTTTTTGTGGATTCCATTTATATATTTTATACAGTGTGTCCCCGGATGGAGTACCGCACACTTGTAAAATGTGATTCTTTTTCTTTTTTTGACTAAAACCCGTATTTAAGCATTTCTTGAGTTCTCGAACAACTTTGTTAAATACAGTTTTTAACGATAACAAAAATTAAAAGCACTTTGCTTAGGAAAAATTTCACATTTTAAAATTTTTTGGATGACCTGTGTGTTATTATGGTATGTATGGTATTACATATTTGATTACTGCCCATGGCTTCCCAAGATAAGGAAAACTTTTTTTCAATAGTAACTTTTTCTCGAAACATCAACAATAAAAGGGTTTACAAGAATGCGGTACCCATCCGGAGATACACTGTATATTGCAAATATTTTCATGAAAATTTCATGTCAATAAAATTCGAACCAGTATTTACTTGAAATAAAAAAAGGCTTAAAAACTGAATTTTTCACTCATTAGTTCTGAATCTTTTAGGTCAAGACGTAAATAACACTTGTGCACTCAGGTACAAATTTTTTATATATTATGACATATTATTTAATTAATAAGATTATTTGTATTAGAATTGCATGTAGGTTGCTTTGCAAGGTAAAGTTGATTTTCTTACATTATAGTCTAAAATTGACGTGTCTGTTCCACATAGACTCACACTGGAGCAATAAGCAATTAATAACCGGCAACACGCAATATAGTTGTCATAATAGCACTTTCTTGTATAAAAGAGCTTCATCTAACTTATCGTTAAAATAATTCAATTCAATCGACTTATTTGAGTATCGTAATACTATGATTTAATTGATACCACTTAAATATGCACGTACACAGGTTTAAAGAAATTAGTGTCTCGGTGTCCGTTGCTACTTTACGATAGCCAACCAGTTCATTTTGTGCCCAAGCCAATCGCGCTGTTTAAAAAAAGGGTGGTAGGAGGGCCCTATCATAGAAGGACCACGATGTTCAAATAATTGAGATTGTTTATCGTTATAGGAAAGTCGATCGTATCTTACAATCATTTTTTGCATTTCCGTTCTTTCATGATTTATATTGGTAGATGAGCTAAACCATTAGCGCGATTAAATGCACTAAAAATACTTTTCTAAACTATGTGCTATTTTATAGCTTGATAAAAAACTGTTTAAGTGAAATAAGTATTTTTTATATTTTATGAAATTATGATAATTAGGATTAGTGGCTTTTTCTGCTTTGATCTATAGTTATCAGTTTTTAAGACAAAGACGTTGTTTTTCCTTTTTTCTTTTATTTTCCATTTTCATTATGACTAGGCCAACATTTTCGAAAATGACAATAATGGTGCACAATTCAGGTTTATCTTATAATAAATAAAATACTAAGAAAAACTATTATTTGCTATATTCGATATTCAAAATTTTTACGAAAATCTTTATAAAGTAAACACGAGTTTGGTGGGCAATTTCGTAATTCATAAAAATTTCATAAATCTGCTGGCTTGTGTTATACTCAGTATGAATCATTGAGGTACCAAGATGCAAAAAATAATTGCTGATATTTCCCCCTACAATATCTTTGAGTAAAAAGGTATAACTCGCCAATATTTTTAATGTAAAAAATATTTTTTGGTAAATATTGGCAACATTTTTGTTTATTTCATACATTGCTGCATTTATGTACTTTATTAATTAAATGTTTCTTTGTAGTATAGTTGCTTTATAAATGGGTAACTATTGCTCAATAATTGCCTAAAAATGAATAATAACAATCCAACCATAAACCATCACCATCACCATCACAGTCACCATCAAAATCAGCAGCACCATCACTACTACCATCAGCATCACCATTACCATCACTAGCATCATCTTCAGCATTAGCATCACCATCACCATCACCATCTCCAAAAAATACGTACAGAATCATAGCTTTACATTTTTCGTACATCATGTGATGTGTGACAAAAATGTGTGTCTGCCTGTAAACTACTATAATTTTAAAACGGATATTACTGACTTGGAAACCTACGATTCACATTAAGGAGTAGAATTATATGTGTTTAAATTATATTTATGAATAGTAAACAGTAATTAAAAGAGGACTGGAAAGTGAAGAACTGGGAAGACACATTCCTGTTGACGGTTTTTGCTTTAACAAAATATTTAATTATTTTGTCAGAAATTACAATTCATTTTATTTATTACATTCAACTTTATCGAGAATATTGTATCTCAATATTCAACTCTCTTTGAAATAATTTACTTAAAGAAATAAAAAAGAGTATAAATCAAAGGCGTAGAAACGTATAAATATTTTCAAAATATCATCATCAAATACACCATAAATATACCAATTTCCGTTTATCTTGTAACTAATATTTTTTTATAAATGAAAAATATTAATATAATATTGTTACCACTTCTTTCAGTTTACTGTTTATCACCTCCTACAATTGACCACGCGAGGCACAACGCACTGGCAGAACAAACAACGTTTGATTTGGATTCCACTCTTCAATACTATTGCCACACTGGATATGTAACAAATGGATTTCCTAGAGCCAAATGTCTGGCTATAGATGGACAGGCCTCTTGGTATGGACCAGACATTTCTTGCGAACGTAAGTTTGAATACAAATGATGTACTGCACCGGCATCTTTTATGTTTTGGTTTGCCTCTCTAATTAAATGTGTTCTTATTTCCTTCCGCAGAAATATCTGTAATATTTCTATAAGAACAATTTTTAAAGAATAAAAAGTATTTAAATTTCATAAGATACCTATACGTTTATGTCTTAAAATTTTCCTAAAATTTATTGTGAGCGTTAATATTGGTACAGTCATTAAGTGTGTCTTTTATTTATCTTGACCATAATAAATAGGTGAAAATAAAATGGGTGTAGCAAGTCGGTAAAAGTTAACACGAGATGCATTGGGGATAGATAACTGTTATATTATTAACTTTACATAATATACCATTGTGGAGTCTGGATAAAAATTTAGTAATTACATATTATTCTCATTAAGTACATACAGAGCCTTCATAAATGTTTACAAGCCACGTCACCGCCGAGCTTAGGCAATGAACATTGCACGGCTGCTATTGTCAACTAAAAATCCCTAAATCTTAGCTTCAAAAGTATTAATGATGCGTTTACAATGGCCAATATCAAACCGTTGCTTCATTGATAAAATTTCTGTTTAAAACAAAATTACTGGTCACATGATTTGTAGTTAATTATGAAGGCTCTGTATAAAAATTGCAAGACCAGCATTTTTGTTAATTTAAAAGTTGAAAAAAGTTTGACAAAAAATGAAATGTTTGATTTTTCTCAATGGTTCGTGTACTTTCAGTAATCTAATAAGAAATAGAAGGAAAAATATACGGGGTGAACTTTTCGCAGAGGACACAGAACAATAAATTTTTCCCAGTTTGGAATTTTGAAATTTTAATTTCAACCGTTTATCGGCCTTTAGCGATGGTGTTTTGAAAAATAAATTAATTCCTACAAATGATTCAACGGATGTAACCGAAATAAATTTTAGTGGAAATTAAAAAATCCCCGTAATTTGAGTGTTTGTCATGAAATACCCGTACAACGATTGACTCTAAAACATGATATCTTAAAAAATGTTTAATTTAACTTATATTACCTTTCTCGATAAGATACAATGGTATTCTCATATATTCAGCATTTTCTTGACATTAAGATTTTGAAGATATCTTTCGTACGAATATTTTGAGATATTTGAGATATATTTGAGATTATTTACAAAATAAAAAGTAGAAAAACTTCCAGTAAGCAGAGCAGAGCTCGTGCTGCATCTGACAGTAGGCATATATTTTTTTTATAATTTTTATGGCACATATTATCTTTAAGACATTCATTGTTTGGTACTACCTTTCCAGCAATGTGTATATGGTGTATATAGTTGTTTCTTTACTTATATGTTAGGAATAATAAAAGATAAATTCTTAAAATTTACTAAGGTTTGATAATAACACAGACCAACAAAATTTTTTTTTGGAAGCAGAAACTTGAATATAGGTATATTTCCGAAGGATTTAGATGCGCTGAATCCGAATCTGGCAGCAGAATTGCTCTATCACGTCAGGTTTTTGGGATATCTCAACCTAAAAGTGCAAAAAACACTGTTTTTCGTCATATTTGAGGTTATGTAATAATGCCATCTATTCTTTTTAGAAAACTAATACATTGAATTTAAAAGTGCAAGGCTCCCTCTTTCGAATGCCGTTGAGTTTGCTCAAATATCTTTTTTTTTTTTTCGTTGAGATATCACATGTTGAAATTTTTAAGTTTCTCAGTTTCTTAATATGCCAAAATCTACTAAGAATCCCTTAGACATCAAGCAGTCGATTGCAATAAAGAAACTTCATACCCATACGGTTTGTGGGTTTGGAGTTGGTGGGCTTGGGGTTTGTAAGCTTGGAGTTCGTAAGTTCAGGATTGGTGGGATCGGGTTTGTGGGTTTAGAGATTGTGGGTTTGGGATTTGTGGGTTTGTGGATTTGGAGTTTGTGAGTTTGAATTCGTATGTATTGAAGGTTTTTGAGTATGAAGTTTCTGAACTGCAATCAACTGTTTGACGTCTAAGGGATCCTTAATAGATTTTCGCATATTAAGAAACTGATAAACTTAGAAATTTCAAGATGTGATATCTCAACGAAAAAAAAAAGATATTTGAGCAAACTCAAAAGCATGCGAAGCGAAGAAGAGGGAGCCTTGTACTTTTAAATTATATGTATTTTTTTTTGAAAAAGAATAGATGGCGTTACTACATAACCTCAAATATGACGAAAAACAGTGTTTTTGCACTTTTAGGTTAGGATATCTTAAAAATCTGACGTGATAGTGCAATTCTGCGGCCAGATTCGGATTCAGCGCACCAAATCTTTCGGGAATGCATATTATTGTGTCTGCTTCTTGACCCTTGTTGACCTGTGTAATTACTACTTAAAATATATTTATAAAGATTTGGATGTTAGAAAAAAGTTGTTTAATAAATATTTGTAATAATCGAGAAATATACGAACTAATAACCTATAGGTACCTTAAAAATGAAGCAAATTCGAACCCATGGTGATAGAAACTATTTCTTTTCGCTTTTACTGTTACCTTTGCTTGTATTAGACAATAAAACATTCATAGTTGTTATAATCAACATTAAGTGCCATATTAGGTAAGTGTCACATTAGGACGAGTGCAACTCAGCGACATTGCAGTTATGTCATTGATATGAAAAGTCAAGCAACGTTGATCACGGTTAGTAATTGGATGGGGGTGACTATCCAGGGAATGCTCGCGATGCTCATCCGTCTTCTGGTGGCCTGTACGTTACTGTATTCAGAGAAACTATACATATTTGTACAGAGAAACGTATCATTCCTCGGAAAGGATGTAAAACCAAGCTTTCCTGTCTAAGCAATGCAAAGAAAGTAAAAAATCACTATTCCATAACAAAGTGAAGGTTTGACAAAATTTCCAGTTAAGGTTATCTCCTTGCGTCAGTGTTTAGTCGAAATAGGCTAATCTAAAATAACCAAAAAAGGAAAATAATAGGAAGTGCCATATTTATTGTTAAGAGAAATGTAACTATTTATTGACTAATTTAATAAGCAAATTTAGTTCAAATATAAAAAAGGTTTGGTATTTTTACCTTACCCTTTACCTTTTGGCCTTTTTACTTTATTTCTAATGATTTAAATAACTGTAATGCAAATCTCAAAAATATTATTTAAATCGTTACAAAATCGTATAGGTGTTTAAAATATGGGGCCAAGATGAAACTGGAAATATAAAAAGTCATTTTAAATAAGAAGTTTAATGTTAACATGGGTTCGAAAATACCAAGTAAAAAAGTTACAAAATGATAAAAATTTACTGCCAAAAACATTTTTTTAAATAATTGCAAAATGGCGGATCATTTGCTACAAACATTTTTTTTAGAAAAAAAATACCTCTTGTATCTACATCACTGTGTATGATCGTTCCTTCGTCCGTTCGTCTGTTCGATTATTACAATCTGTAACCTATATGTAGACTTGTATATACTTACTGAGTTTTATTTGAAATCGATCAGCTATTTTGGAGTTATTTAAAAAAATATGTGTTTTGACAGTGCATCTCTGCCATGCTGTAACATTTTGTGAGCATGTTTTTAGAACATTTGTTTGCTTAAAATAACTTCTCCTATCTTCTGTTTCTGTTATGCACTATATTTTATAATCGTCCGGTGTAACAAAAATATTTTACCAGTGCCAATAAAAATAAACTTAAAACAAACAGAAAATATTCAAATGTCTCTTGAAAATTCAGTTATTACGGAATAGTTGAGCTCTGTATTCCACATTGCTGAATCGTCCGTAGGCTTCATTCTCCTTGTTCCTACATTTCCCAGATAAGTGGTATAATTCCTACATTTAAATGGGAACGCTCTGAATCAGGGGAGAGGAAGAATGTAATTTACTACCATATTTTTCATATTTTCAGCCCGATCGTGTGGCGCACCAACCGACATTTCTCATGGCTGGCACGCGGGAGAATGCTATACCTACGGCTGTCGAATAACTTATCACTGTGCTGAAGGATATGAACTTGTCGGCAAAAATGAGCGCTATTGTCAAGCTGACGGTACTTGGACCCCGAAGGAATTGCCGACTTGTGTTCGTAAGTACTTTATGTGACTTACTTAAATAAATTCTCCCCTCTGATAGCTATTTAGGCTATATACACATAAATATTCATCGCACATTTTACAGAATAATCACGCCTACATAAAACACAAAACTAAATCGTTTTGAAAACAAAAGGCTAATGGAGTCCTGGTTATAATTAAGTTTTCCTTTAAGCAAATTTAATCATACAGAATATTTACATTATTTAAAGAATCCATATTAATCACAGAAACTTTCATAAATTATCATCAAATGAACATACAGGGCTACAACATTTTAATTGTCCAATATAGGTATCTTTCTATTATAAGAGATACAGAAATAGTCAAATGAGCAAAAATATGCAGATTTTATGCCGATCACGTATTCGTTTTTAAATTTAGAAAATTACGACTAGTTCCGAAGATATTCGAAGGAAACCGATTTTATGTTATGTCTTTCTTTTGTCATATTTCACTTGCTTTTCAAAAATGATCAGTTTGGTATTAAATGATGTGAGGAGTCGATGTCAGTATTAATGTTTTATACGTTAATACTGATAGCAAAAATCGATTCCTCACATAATTTACTATCATTTTTCTCTTAAAATAAAACACAAGTGAAATATGACTAAAAAAAAGACGTAACATAAAATCGGTTTCCTTCTAATATATTCGGAACTATTCGGAATTTTCTAAATTAAAAAACGAATTCATTATCGGCATAAAATTCTGCACATTTTTGCTCTTTTAGCCATTTCTGTATCTCTTAAAATAAGAAAGATAGATTGTACAATCAAAAAGTTATCACCCTGTATGTATACTTTATGGTATTATATATTCGGTTATGCTAAAAACAACTACATGACAAACCATAAATAGCAATAAACATAAAAAATTAAAATATTTTATACAATAAAATAATAAAAATTAAATATTTTTACAAAATATATTTGTTGAAAGGGCAACTAAATTATAACTGGATAGGTAAAAGTAAAATCATATTATTCCAGATAGGAATAATAAAAGGAAGTCAAAATTAAACTTATATTTGTTTTAAATACATTGTAAGACAAAATGGGCTAGAAAATTGATATCTGGGGAATATTTTGTGACGAGAAATGGGAATCTGCGTACTATTTTCATGTAGTTTGCAGAAGGCGCCCCTAATTCATGTGCCTAAAGTGCTGCAATTTTTTGTGCTCTACTGTAGTAAGCACATTATTAACAGAAATATTTTTAAAATTAATGCTGTACATAATAACATTGCTAACACATTATTATAAAGTTAAAAAATAAGCGTTTTTATTAAACAAATAAAAGAAGAATACACAATTAATCAAAAAATGATAAAAATGCATTAAAAATTAAAAAACCCTTTAAGGGCCCCATATTCCTTAAATAGTGTTTTCCACAAAGACAAATAATTTCAAACATTTAATAACTGAATAATCTAAAGCTCATCAAATAATAGGAATGTTATGTCATGCCATCTGGTTATTTTCAAAGACGCCGCAGTAAAACGAATAAACAGGTGCAAAAAACGATCAAACCATCAAGGTTTTAGGTACTGAAATCTACGAAAATACTAACTTTTTTATATATAACTCTACATGTAAATATTCTTATAACATTTACTTGCTTAGTCCTACATATAAAATTGTTTACTTTTAATTATAAATACGTGAAAATAATTCTTAAAATGTGGGGTTAGGATAACAGCAAACGCATGTTTTACAAACGCTTTTTCCTTAGTTATTATTTTATTTGAGTAAATTTAAATAGTAACAATGAATAAACAGAACACCAAGGATTTTATTTTCGTGCTTAGTTTTGTTGTACACGTTTTAGTTTTCAAGATTTCAGTACCTAAAAACGACAGAAATTTGACTATTTCTCGGCCAGGGATTTGGCCACTTTAATATGCTGTATTTTTAATTACTTTTTACTGTAAATACTGTAAATATCCACCTATTACTCGCGGAAATGGTTATTTGCTGCGGTATGGACAATGGAGGGAAAAGTGTTGTAAAGACGCCGAAGTATCATATGTGCGCCCTCTACAGACTGCACGAAAAGTAGGATTGAATTTTCGTTTACCAAATTTAAGGCTAGGTTTTTAGTTAGAAATTATTTAAGGAAATTAATAACAAAAATTTCACGTTCATACTCTGTGCCTCGATTATCATCAATTGTTGTAGTAAGGTATTTTGATCTAAGAAAATTACCTACTGTCTGAATATGGACCATTTATTACTAAATAGGTACTTTGCATACTTATAAATAATTCAATATCTATTAATATTCAAATATCTATAAGTTAACTTGAGAAAGCAATCCTTGAAATGTAGTAATATATTAATTTTCTTGAAAGTTTGAAAATTATTCAATAGACATCAATATGCCAGATAAGTACTTTTTTACTTTTTTATTAGTAGGTACAGTTTGAAAGAATATTTATATTTATATTTCAACGTGATATTAGTTTTTTCCTAATTCTAATACTTTTGATTCCCATCGAAAATGGAACAATCTGTAGGGTGCCGTGTCACAAGTGTCACTTCTTTTTTTGTTCGACATTTCAAAAAGTATAGTAAGAAAAATAGTTGTAGGAAACTTTTTAGATATTTTACCTACCTAACCTAATGTTATATTTTAATGGAGGGGCTACATATTTTTACACTTTGATTTTTTTATAATTGCCTACAGTCATATAAGATTTGATGGGTCTATTTCTAAAAATAAGGAAGACATGGTGGTCAAAATAATGTGCTAGTGGGATCCCAACATTCAAGTGTTGTCAACGAAAAAAAAATACATCGTCAAAGCTGACAGTTCAGGGTTATTAAAAATTGACCTCCTCTACACGAAATAACAATGCGTTTTCATTGTCGAACAATATTTGACAGCTACCGTTAGCAATTTTCGTACAGAATATGGTCGGAATAGTGATTTAACTTCAGAAACTGTGAAGAGATTAATTGAAAAATTCAGGGAGACTGGATCAATTTGTGATCTTAAACACTCTGGCCGTCCTTCAACAAGTCGTTCAACATCGAAGCAGTTCGTGAGGGTGTTGTTGACAGTCCAAGAACATCAACTCAGCACCGTGATTAAGAATTGGACATTGTGGGAATTTCTCTTCTCACGAAAGATTTGTATCCTCGTGCTTACAAAGTTCAATTAACTCAAGAATTGAAGCTTACTGACTACGCAGAGCGTTCGTTGAATGGATTATGGAACAACAAGTGGATAGTGGATACTGATTTTTCCAAAAGAATCATCTTTATCGATGAGGCTCATTTTCATCTCGATGGCTTTGTCGTATTTCGGGTGCAGAAAATCCACTACTGATTGCATCAAATGCATTCACAACTGTGCAAATTTTTGGTTGGAGGCATGATCGGACCATTCTTCTTCGAAAATGCAGCTGGTCAGGCAATAACAGTTAATGGTGCTCGCTATCGCGGCATGATAATCCAGGTTTTTTGTGCCTAAATTTCAAGATACGGATGAGTTATTTTCTGGCCTTGTAATTTCCCGTTTTGGTGATTAGAATTAGCCGTCCATATCATGCGATTTCACACCGTTGAACTTTTTTCTTAGGGGTATTTTGAAGTTTGAGGTTTATACCAAAAGCCCACGAGCACCCACGCTTTGAAGGAGGCAATTGAGCATTGATCAACGAAATTCAGCTGCAAAATGGCCATGGAAAATTTCGACAAAAGAGTTTTTTAACCTTTAGGTTATATTTATCCCTTATTATTAGATTTAGATTGATCAAACCTTATATCACTAATCGAAAAAGAATATGTCCTATATTAGACTTGTATCTCTGTAATCCAACAATAATAATTTGTTTTCTCAACTTAGGCGTGGGAAAAACTAGAAAAAAAAAACTGAAATTTTTATTGTTATATGTTTTTTCTACTTTTTGTACGTCGAAAAATAAAGAACAAAAATAGGGGCGACACTGATGGTGGAACTCCCCGTACACATGCAATTTAAATGCAGAATAAAACTTTGTTGAAGATTCATAATACAGTTTCAGTTTATATCTGACCCACAGTTACAACGTTATTTTTAATGCTTTCATACGACCATCAACATATTTTTCGAACCTCTTTCACGTCTTGTTTTTCAGCGCCGTTTGAAAACAAAGATTATTAGTAACTCGAATATTTACAATCCAAGCCAAAAAAGATATAAATTACCTATTTTCTGTAAAAACAATGGGTATTAATTTTAGTAAACAAAAACTGAATAACATTGTTAGCGAGGACATATGAAGATTTGTGTGTGCTTTCAATCCTAAATCTGTCACAAAAATTAATGTTTGGTGTATATATCTCCATATTATTCAACGGAAAATAATTTGAGTGCACATCTATATAAAGCGTTTTCTGCTTTGGCCCATTATTTACTTCATGTGATGAAATGTTGTAATAAGAAAATGTCTATCAGAATTTTGATCGTTCATACAAGTGGAAATTATTTCAATATACGTACTGAGGTTTAAAACGAGAATTCGTTAATAGTTTTTAGAAATAAGGAAATTATTTTAATATACGTACTGATGTTTAAAACGAGAATACTTTAATCGTTTTTAGAAATAAGAAACATATTTTTCTAAAGCAAAGTTAGCAGATTTATATAATTCTAAGGAAAAACATCAAATTTAAAACATTCTGTCGCTATGATAAATTTAAAAATATCTTTACTTGTAAAGTGACTTCCATAAAAAAAAAAAAAATTCAAAAGATAAGAGTGAAAGCAGATGATTTATCCTTCTTTGTTCTTGGCGCCGTTACGACAAAGACACAGTATCCAATTACTGATCTATCACGGTGTTAAATGTTTCGGAAAAAAATTGGATACTTCACAACTAATAAACTGCTCTTTATATAAAACAATATTATTCGTTATTGTTATTAATCAAATTAGTTTCATGTACCAAAATTGTCATTTATTAGTTGTTGTTGCTAATTCTTTTCCAGTGATTGTCATTTCTATT